AGCTGACCAATAGCATGTGTGAAGAAGAAGTCTTTGCTTAGGGGGCACTGAGTCTATGTTAATGGTAGTGGATTAATTTGGAAAGGGATATCAATAAAGGTTGCACACACAAATTGTATAATCAATGGCACTGAATTGTACATGTTGAAGTTGTTGAACTGGAGAATGTTTGTTTTATATATTTTGCCACAATTAAAAAATAATTACACTAATAACACTGAGTATGAGGAAGAAGAAAATGCGCTAAAACTTATTTTTGTGATGATTGTACAATTATTCGCGATATGAATGAACTATAGATTTATATGATATGTGAAGAAAGTGTCAATAAAACTTTAAAATAAAATAAAATGTTTACTGAAAAACAAACTCCTAACCAAAAAGTCCGAGACTAGATAGCTTCAATGGTGACTTCTCCCAAGCATTCAGAGAAGAGCTGACATCAAGTCTACTGCAATTATTCCAGAGTATAGAAAATGATGGGAAACTGAATTCATTTTATGAAGTGAGTTAAACTCTGATAGCAAAACCAGGCTGAGACATCACTAAACCATATTATACAACAATATCCTTCATGAATGTAGATGCCCAAATTCTCAACAACATCATAACCCATATTATCTATCTTTCTATCTATAAAATGCATCATAACCTAGTGAAATTCATGTAAGGTATTCAAGGATGCTTCAACATAAGAAAAACAATAAACACAATCCATCATCTAAAGAAAGTAAAGAAAAGAAGCACAAAGTCACATTGATCAATGAAAAAAAATCCAATGTCCATTGCTGATAAAAACACTCATCAAAGTAGGAATTGAAGGAATTGAAGCGAAATTCTTCATATAATTAAGGACATGTATTCATAACCAATGGCCAATATAACGTTGAAGAAGCCATGTAAGGAGGGCCGTGTCTTATGTCATGTATCTGTCTAGGACAGTGCGCAAACGTCTGTCCTAGCTGGTTCTCACAAACTGCTTCCTTACTGCAAACGGTAAGGAATTTGGGGAACAGCTGCAAGCAGTGTTCCCTGGTAGCAGTAAACAAGAGCAATATGGGCTGAGATAGGGAACTCTGTCAACGCTATGAGAAATTCGAGCTTAGGAATAGCGAGCTTTTCTGGGAACACTGCCAGTATTTAGTAGATAAGAATAAAGCGCTGTGGTCCGTCAGGGCTGCAGTTTTGTACCGTCTCTGTCTGTGTCTATTTTGTGTTGCAGTCCTGTCTTGTCTCTGTGTGTGTGTGTCTGTGCGTCTGTTTGGTTCTTTGTTCATTCTCCCTATTCGGAAACCGCGGTAACTGTCAATGGAGAGAAGCTGAGAATGTCCCTTGAGAATGCGAACCTTACCTTTATCACCACTCCAATTCAATATTTTATTGGAAGACTTTTCCAGTCATATAAGTAAAGGGAACTAAAGGCATCCAAATTGGCAAAGAAGAAGAAAATCTCCAAGATTCAATAAGAAATAACTGGAACTAATTGAAAAATTCAGCAAAGTGGCACCTACAAAAACCAGTGGGATTCCTGAACACTAACAACAAGAGGCTCTGGAAAGGAAATCAAGGAACAGTAGCATTTACAATAACCATCCAAAAGATGAAATATTTGAGGGCATGAGTCGATGTGCCTGAGGGCTGAGTACTGTAGTCTCAGGGTACACCTAGATCAATGGGAATATAATTTACAAAAACAATGTTCTGCACCCTACCCGATGAGTAGTGATTGGGCTCTTCAAAGCTCATGCATTAATTATCTAAGGTGCAATTATTCATCTCTCCTTGTCCAGAGAAAAAAAGAGTGAATACACATGACAACAATCAATCCAATGGACTAAAGGACCACTCAAACATCAATCTCCACAAGAGACCAGAAAAACTAGAGGTGCCTGATTAATCTGAAAGGGATCACATGAGAAAGAACAAATCAACATCATTAAAGAGATCAGGCTTGTTGGTCAGACAGAGCCTGGTGGAACCCTAGAGGCAATGGCTTTCAGTCACCATTCAGATTTGGAAATTAACCCATTCCCATGGCTCAGTTTTCATCAATAGGACAAGTCTATAATGGGAACAATAATATTTGTGAGGTACGCATATTCTACAATAATCAACCATCGGATATCAAAAGGGCAACATTTACCAGAGGACAAGATTCAGAAAAGTTAAGAAAGAAGGAGGAATGTAAACAGGAAACACAAGCAGGAAGTGGGATAAGTGACATTACATTGAGGGACTGCAATGAATGAGAAGAAATAAAATGTGTATGATTGTTGAATGTAATCCTGATGATCTGCTCTGTAAACCATCACCCAGGTTACATAAAATGTTATACAGAAAAGAAAAAGTGAGCTGGTAAGTTTTAAAATCATCTATAAATACACCCATTTTCATCCTTTTCCTGCTCATTTTTAGAGATGTTCACTTAATCTAATGTGAATTTCCCAATTTATGTTCTAATATACATGTCAAAATTTAATTTACCATGTGCCCTACCTTCCAAACGCTTCTCTTGAATTTTCCATCACAGTGAATGCTACCCTTGTTGATCAAGTTACCTAAGTGGTAATGGTCATCACACACTCGTTCCCCCACCATTGCTACTTCCCAGATATGCCCCATCCATCAGTGTCTTGTCAATTTTACCAATTCTATGTTTTCTTGTTCATTTTCCTCTACCTCCTTTTCTACTACTACATCACCCAGGTCCTCCCCACCTTCCACACACCTTCCAAAAGGTCTCCCTGCTACTCTATTTGATATCTCTCAATCTATTCTCTACATTACTAGCAAGGTTATTTTACTGAATGCAAATCTACTTAGAACTTTTTGATGGTGCTTAAACATGTCCAGGGAAAAATCCAAGATCCTTAGCATGGAACCGATCCCTCTTCTGTGTAGTCCTAAGAACCTTTTCAGCATTCTTTGCACCCCTTCCCATAGATGCCTTATGTTCAAATCACAGGCAATGATATTCTGTTTTGCAAACAGACCATGTTTTCTCTCCCTCCTTTGTTTTTGTCATGTGATTTTCTCTGCTACTCATTCGCTTCTTGTCTGCCCATGATTCCTAGTAGTTGTTTACGACCTGCTCCTTCTGTAACACTGCTGGGAAACAGGGAGTGGGCCTGCGCTGAGCCTTAAGGCACAATGCTGCCTTCTCCTGTGTTTCACAGCACCCTGTGCATAGCTCCATCAAGGTGCTTGTCAAACAGAGTCTTAATTTTTCTTTTTCATGTCTGTCTGCCCCACACCATTTCATCTTTCTGAGAAGAGGAACTGGGTCTTTTCAGTTTTATTCTCAGGCCAAGCATGTCCCCTGTTACTTAGAAGTTGCTCACCTGCCAGTGTGTTGTAAGGCAGTCCCTGGGTTATGAATGAGATCCATTTCTAAAGTGTTTTTAAATTGAATATGGAGATGAGCTGGAACCAGTGCATATGGTTCTTATTTAGCCTTGCTGTAGCGCAAGACAAGACTTGAAGCCTTTTCAATGAGTTAAAAACTGTATGTGTACCCTGCGAAGAATTTGTTGGGAGCAGAGGGCAAATTTATATATAAACAAGTTGTCCATAATCTGGGCATGGTCTGTGCTGTGGGGGTCTGTGTATTGCTTTGATGCTGCAAGTTTTGTCAGCAGTATTTGAAATACCAGTGGGGTCAGGTTCCCATCGAGTTTTTATGATGAAGATTAGGAAAACATTACTTGATGACCTACTTTCAAAAACCAGCCTGTAAAAATCCCTAGGGATCACAATAGAATATTGTCCAATATAGTGCTGGGAGATGAGCCTGCTAGAAGACGAGGTTGGAAGGCACTATTGACTGAAACAGCATGTCCAAGGTCATGAAGACGGCGGAGACTGAGTGATATTGGTGTACATGGCATCATCAAAAACTGGAGCTGACTTGCCAGCAATGAACAACAGTAGCAATTCTTTTCATCACCTCTGGATGTTTTGCTCAGGCAAAGTAACTCTCCCTGTCTTTGTGAATTTTAAAATTCATTTTCATTTCCCTTGAATTTAATTCATCTGAAAATACACGCAAACCCTGCCTCCATGTTAGTTGATCCAACTGTTGCTTGAAATGCCTAGCCTCCTGTTGATTCTTCAACTAATTAAGTTTTGACTTTTATCCCACCAATTATATAACATTGTTATTCTCAATGACGCCCATTGCTTCCTAATTGCAAACCTCTGACGTGGTTACAGTTCCGGATTTCCCGGTGGACCTCTCTCAGCATTTGTCTTCTGTGATATCGTTTACCCTGGCCCACATCTTCTTGAAAACTCTCCTGCTCTTCTCGTCTGCCTTCGCTGAAACACTGGCGCCCCAAGGAAACCCTTCTATTTATTTTGTCTTCTCACTCTCCCTGTGTCACTCACCCTAACCCCACATCTCCGGTGATTACTTACACTCCCAATACAACCAAACTTTTACATTTAGAACTCTATTTGTAGCTTGTAATAACTTGTCTGATTCACAGGACTACACATTTTTACATGATAAAATTGAATCGAATTTCCTTCAAATTGTACTTCTCTTTTATATCTCCTATTTTAGTGAGTTAGTGGTATATTCAGGAATAAAATGAAGAGTACTGAAAAATTTATGACCTAATTTTTCCTCCAGGTTTCTATATTAGACTATACAGTGAACAAATTTCAAGGAAAAATGCATCCTCTCTATGTATCCCAAGTTTTTTAAAAATTAGTTTTCTATTGTGATACAAACTTAACAGCTCAAAGCATTTATTATCTCACAGTTTCCATATGTTAGGAGTTGAATCTCAGTTTAGCTGAGCTGCTCAGTCTCACAGGCTAAAATCAAGGTGTTGACTGAGGCTACGAATCCTCTTCCCAGGGCTTCACCTGAGGATCCTCTTCAAATCTCACACAGTTGTGAGAATTCATGTCCCTGACAGTTTGTTCATTAAAGTCAAGAGAGAAGATACCTGGCTTCTCTATGAGCTCAAAGTCAACTGATGAGGGGCCTTAGTGTGCAAAAAATCTTTTCCTTTCCTATAGACAGTAACATCTTTATGGGGGAGGCTTTTCATCACCGTTGCCATAGCCTGTTGCTTAGAAGTAGGTTAGGCTCTTCCCACACTCCAGGAGGGGGGAATGTAGAAGGGCAGGTGCCATTGGAGCTCAGAATTCGGCTGACCACATCTTCTAAAACATAAAAACGTCATGACACACACCAATAAGTTTATAGTTTGGGCCTTTAAAAGGTTGACTACAAAGGAAGAAAGTTTAAAATCTTAAAGTTTAATTCAAATGGCACAAATTTTGAAGGTGGACAGTGTTATTTTATGCTTGTGCTATCTCACACCTACTGCCCTGAGCAGGAGCTATACCCAAGTCTGTAAGCATTGGATCACATTATATAACTCTAAAAAGAATCATCACAGAAACTGTTCTGAATCACAAACTGGCTTAACTACTTTGCCATGTGTTAACTTGATTTATATTAGGAGAGTATACGTATATATTTACAGGTAAGGTACTTAGTTTTTTCCAAGGATCGTTATTTAAAAATAAAATAGAAAATACTTTCAAGATTTAGACTGTTGTATTAAAATTAGCCAAAATTAGTCACCACCCCCCCCAGCCAGTCAATTCTCTCTCCTAGGGCCCCTAGATAATATTCTGAGTATATAAGTATTTATCAGCATGGATGGCCTCATCTTCCTACCTCAGAACTGCTAGTGAGTTTGAATCACTGACCTTGCAGCCAGCAGACCAATGTTTACCTAACAGTGACACCACATTGTAATCAAGGTGCCTGGTACTTCCTCAGGGAGGTGGTCTAGCTATCATTTAAAATTGTCTTCTTATTCTTATATTTTTACAATGATATATACACAGATGTTCTCCTATCAATAACAGTCCCTTTCTGGTCCCACACGGGAACAGGGTGGGTTCTGGAAAGCCCTTATATTTTTCACAATGAATGCAAAAGCTGTTAAGTTCTTCAATTTGCTTCTCACGGACACTGCTTCTCAGCTATTTAGAGGTGGAGGCTGCTTTAGTGCGTATACTGGCATTTGCCATGAAAACGTAGTGCGTGTTGTACACAATCAGTGCTCATACGACTGAGGAGTGCTACAGATAGGTGGTCACCTCGCTGTTTTCCCTCTCTTTTGCTTGTGCAACTGCCACGTTGATGCACTGCAGCCATTCTTCTGCGTTCTTCTCATCCTTGGCCTTGAAAACATAGGTTTTATTGTCCGTGAAGATCTCGAAGGCCCGAGGGAGAGAGCGGTCCCTGCGCTTCTTGGTCACAACTTTCACACTCTGTACTTTGCTGAGTTCTATTGGCCAGTCATCAGGGTCATCTTTCTGAAATGCACAGGGGGAGAGAGCATGAGTGTAGCCAAGATCTCTGGCCACTAAGCATTTTATAAGCCAACCACAATTCTTTGGCTTTGCAAAAAGTCATTAGAACCGAAGGGGTGACCAACTGGCACACTATAAGTGAGCACCATAAATTCAATTTATAAATAAACATTACACTGTGGGATTGGGGGGAAATGCATAATCCAATTTTCTTTGGTTTTATGTCAGCCTCTATTGATAGCAATCCTAAATCAATAGAGCAAAGTCCAGCAGCACAGTTCGGAGCACAACTTGTTCCGGCGTTGAGAGAACTTGGGAGTCTGAGATTGCTCTTCTTTAGGTAACCTCTGCAAAGGGTTCGCTCCACCCTTAATCGACTGAACAGGTTCCATCGTTCCAGTGGATCAAATGGATTCTGAAACTTTCTGGCGCTTCAGAGTGTGATCTGCCTACAAACATGGACCTAAAGGACTTTGCAATTATCCTACCTTCTCTCTTCATTAAAGCAGAGATTTAAAAAAAATTGATCTGGGGTGAACACATCATACAATCCAGGGGGCCAAGCCTCTCAAGAAGGACTGTGTAATCGTTGTCACAATCACCATGGTGGCTCTTACCCTGCTTCTTTTACACATGGATGTTGATTGTCTGGTTCACCCTCCCTCTCCCTCTATGTCCCCAAGTCATCAGTAAGCCCATTACTATCTTTCTGCTTCCATCACCCCTGTTTAAGAGCTCAGAAAAGGCAATTCTAGGTCTGTAACTTTCATAAGGATGTTTGATCCACTGGAGAATGTCCACATGGTCGAGCAACTTGCCACTTCTTTTCCATCTCATCCCCATTTTAGAATCACCCCTGTATCACAATAGAGAAGCATTCATCTGACCCATTCCAAATTTCCTACGGCACATTGTTCAACTTGCCAAAAATCTCAGGAGCCCACAACCAACGAGGAAAGTTTAGGAAGTGGTGTCCTTCAACCAAGGAGCATCCTTGCACCAGGTATGGGACATCCACGAAAGCACACCCGTCACTCCCAGTTCATGTCATTAAGAGATGCATCTCCACTAAAAGTTCACCTTTTACTATGTATTATTCATTATACTTTACATTATGGATTTTCACAAATGACACCTGAATATTTAAAAAGTAAGTTGAGAAAAACTTATGTATTACACAGATTCATTTTAGAGACTTAGGGTCATAAGAAATTAAAATAATTAAATGTTTCTTGCAGTGAAAAATGGTAACACGATCAAGATAAAATGTAGCAGAAGAAATGGAATGAAAATAGAACTTTAAGGGAAAAAAGAAGCAATCGAACAATTTTGATTAGATAGGAGTTATTTTGTGTATTTTTTAAAAAATGGATGTGCTTTGATATCAAATTCCTATTAAGTATTTTATTTCAATGATTATTTAAAGGAGACAAATGATCTTTTCATTTCAAAATGTCAGTACTTACAATTTAAGAGAAATGATAATCTGTTTAATTATTTAAATTTGTATTACAAATGTATTACACAGATAAATGTATTACACAGATAACCTTTTCAAAATTCTTCTAGGGGGACACCTGTGATAAAATATCAGGACATCTGGACTGAACAATGTTTTGTTAGTCTAATGTGGGTTATGGTAAGTTACTAATGGTAATAAAAATGCAATTTTTGACTTAGCTTATAATATAGAAATTGATATTTGGGGAAATTCTTTTTTAAATTACCAACTGCATCTCACGAGGGACAACGAAAGCGGGTGAGACCGGAATGGCAGGACAGTCAAAGGGCATCCCTGCCTAGTGGGCCGGGGAGATGAAGATCAGAAGGGCAAGCCAAACCACAAGGACAACCACTGCTGGGGTCAGTGGCAAACCCACACAACACTAAACGACCCCCCTTCAGGTATCGTTGGGGCATGTCTGGGGGTGCAGCTGCCTGTCAGGGGAGAGGACACCGGGATCTAAGATCGCCAGCCCCTCACCTTGAGGGCAGAGTCTCATTTCTGCTTGGCTGTTGGGAACACTGGTGCTTCTTGGTCCTGAAACTTGGTAGATCTAGGCCCCACATTTCACTTGCAGGACACTGATGGAAAGGTATGGGTACTGGGTCCCCACCCCCCCACGCCTTCAGCTCAGGAACCCTTGGCATCCTTGACTGCACTGATCTTCACTGAACAAGTTCCCATGGGTGAGTTGGCTTTCTTTGTTTGACAGAGAAGGCAGTGACAGCTTGGTGACACCTGGCCCAGCACACAATTAAGTGGGAGCTTCCTTGCCGCTTGCTGCACAGCAGCCCCTGGGGGGCTGTGCCCAGCAACCCTCTACCCAGCCGACACGGGTGCCCATAACATCCAAGTCACATAATGTCCAATTTCGCAGAATGAATTGTGGGCATTACGCGACACATACGCGTATGGTTTTCAGCCTCAGGTCTCATAAAAGGAGTCCTTGGTGGTGAAATGGTTAACGTACTTGTACCCTGACTGAAAGGTTGGTGATTTGAGTCCACACGGACATACCCGGAAGACAGACTTGGCTGTAACTTCTGTAAAGTCTGCCAGGGAAAGCCCTGCGGAGCCCAGGACACCCTCTGACACGCACGGTCATTTTGAGCCAGAATTGTCTCCACATCCATGGTGTATTTTTGTTTCATGTAAAAAATGTCCATTGTGCTCATTTACAAGAATGGCCCTTTTATGAGGTGGCTAATGCGTCAGCAGAACTGCTGACCACAGCCTGGTTACTGCACCCCGGGGTGTAGAGGCATTTTGCTGGGGCCCTCATGTTATATTTTACTGTTTGTCAGTAGTTGAGCCACATGCTCTGTCAGATTTCTGACATTTCAAACCATAATTTTATGATAAAAATGTCAACCAAGTTCATCAATTAAAAAATAGCTTACACTTCATACTTTAAAAAAAATCAAGATTTGAGTCAAGAAGCATAAAGGTCATTACTTGACTTTAGGAAATAAGTTTGTATAAAATAACTTTGCTTTGGCCCAAGAGCTCTGAGAAATCTTCCATCTTTACATCTATTTCTGATGTCTTTAATACAAACAGGAAAATTGATAGGTCAGTGAGAACACTTAAAAATGCTTCAGTGTGAGCTGCGGAGAGGACAAGCGTGGAGAGGGACCCGAGCATCTCTGGAAACGGAGGGGTTGCGCTTCTTGCATGTCACAGTGGGTTCCCTGCTGGTCGCCTATGGCTGGTACATCATCTTCAGCTGTGTCCTTTTCCTGTGGTCACTCAGAAGCTCTCTGCCCGACTTAGGGCTTTGAGGCAGAGGCAGCTGGACCAAGAAACAACTGCTGTGGAACCTGCTGTGATTGTTAAATGACAAGAAGCTTTAGCAGCTGCTCGTTGAAAAATGCAAGAAGAATTAAATGCTCAAGCTGAAAAGCATAAAGAAGAACTGAGAGAGCTGGAAGAAGAGAAAAGGAGACTGAAGACTGTCAAGGGGGACAGCATGCCAGAAGGAAAAAGCTACAAAGGAAATGTCAAAAGGCCTCAGGAAGAAGACAGCTCTGCGCCTTCCACATCATCAGTTCCCCCCAAACGTACGCCTGAGAGAAAGCCATTGCGCCGAGGTGGTTCCAACCCTCTGTCTGGGGAAGGAGGTGGCACATGCTCCTGGACACCTGGGCGAAGAGGTCCATCCTCTGGCGGATGAGGCGAAGCATCTTACTAGTGTCATCTGACAATAGTATTGAGCCTTCAAGTCAATTGCCTTACGCAGACTTTTCACAGCGACTAGTCACAGAGGGGTGGGGGTTCTTTCTGTTCTAACCTGTATTGGCATATTTAAGGGTAAAATCAGCAAAAGAAATAAACAATGCCACTAGGCATTAGGTCAGTGGTCAGTCTTCTTAATGAGGACTACCTTCATTGAGTTCCAGGTGATTTGCTAGCTGGGATATAAAGTTTTCCAGATGATTAACAATTTTGAGAGAGAGAGTGATGATCTTTGAAATAGAAATCCTTTCTTGGTAGAACAGTCTCTGTGACAGGTTGTGTGAAGTCTTCCTTTTAAATGGTGAACTCACCTGTGAGGATTACTGATAATAGACAATTGAAGAGGCTTGTGTCTGTATTTTTATTTTTACATAGAGAATTTTGTATAAAGGACACTGTAAATATTAAAAATTCACAAATAACATTTTTAGCACTTTTTTGAAATTTAATTATGAATTTGAATTTTTCTTTCAAATATTAAACAGCTTTTATCATTAAGAAAATGCTTCAATGCAAACTTACGCTATAGAAAAGTTCTTCTTTTTTTAAAGCCTCCAATAACTGGCTAAATTAAATATGCCCTTATACTTCCCTTTCAAAAACTTCTTTGTCTACAAAAAAAAAAAATCCATCTCTGTGTCATTTGACACACAGATGAAGAAAGTTGCATGAGTTCAGAGCAAATGTCATCAAAATGTTCTTTTTTTAAAATTCAGTTTTATTAATTAAAAGAGAACTGGTTGACATTTGTCAAAATACAGATACATTAAACTTGAGTAAAAAACTCAAATAAGTGTTATAATGAAGACACCAAGGATATAGTGTAAATGCTCATAGGAACTTGTACACTTTAAGCATCTAACACTTTCATTCCTTTGCTAATTAATTCAGACAAGGTCTAGTTTGCCACCAGCCGAGTGTGTTAAGGGAGCGTGGGAAGTAGCACAGGGTATGATTTATAAGCTTATCTTTGCTGACAGCCTGTCCGAGCCTAACTGTAATCCCACCCTTCCTTTCCTTGTGGGCTCACACCTCGGACCAGTCAGTTAACATTTTTGAACTTCACTTTCCTGGTCTATGATATGTAAATTATGTGCCAATAAAACCGTTGAGAAAAAATCACAAAAACATATAGCTCAACATAAGAGGGCCCCTTCTATTGGGTAAGAAATCATCTTCTTCTCACCACCACCAAAAAAAGGAAAGAAACAATGGCAGAATGAACACCGTAGGATTATTCTGAGGATTGTTTTAGGCAAGCTGCTATGGCATGTGATTAGCACTAAATAAGTCTTCATTTTTCAATCTTACAGTGTCATTTGATTTCTCATAGTAACCTTATAGAGGGCTTCTGAGACTATAAACCTGTATTGGAATAGGCAGCCTCAGCTTTCTCCCTGAGAGTGGCTAGTGGATTTGAACCACCAGCTTTTCTGTTAGCAGCCTGCTGCCTAACCCACACCACCACCAGGAAGCGGTGTATGTGTCAGAATCTGGAACATGATAAGTCTCTAGACTTCAGATCCTAAGAACTTGACTTAGGAAACTTAAAGTCAAGGAGGAACTTACAGACTTTCCTTTTTGAAACTGGAGCTGATTTCCAGCCAGGGTGAAGTAGCGGGTTTTCCATCTTTTGATGAACTTCCACTTGACTTGCTTCTCTTTCAGTTTTCCTTCTATGAGAGGCTGGCCGTCTTGGTTTACAACTGTTGAAGGTAACCCAGAATTATCATGTCATTTATTTTCCACTATGTATTTGGTAAATGATCAAAAGTCAGAATTATAAAGTGAACAAGAATTGAGTGAGTATAGAAGGAGGCCGATAAATTATAAATTTGTCTAATCCTTTTTCTTTGGTCCCTAAAAGAATGCACAATTCAGATATCACAAGGCAAAAGTGTGGGAAACTTTCCTCAAGATTTTCAAAAGGAATATCGTTCACAGAATGAGCATCTGGTTAGCAGTTATTAAAGGACATTTAATACCCAGCTTTCTGTGGGTTTTAACACCTTTGTTTTTATGACATTATATTCATTTGATTGAAATGCCCAAATTGAGTAAGAGCTATTTTGGCACAAAATATCTAATGTGCCATAGATATCATCTCCTCATATTGATGTTGCCAGAAACTAGGCAAATCAAAATTGAATTTCCTTGCTTTATGACACATGAAACACTTAGACATGTAGGTTTAACAATTATTATAGACCACAGGAGGGGTAGAAGAGAAATCAAGGAAATGGGAGGGGGAGGGTATTGGGGGAGTTGACTGGTGGTTTAAACTGTTGAATCCCAACTATGTGATCTGAAATGTAAACTCGCACCTAAGTAAAACTTAAGTCAACTCCCACCTAAGTATATACCACAGACCAAATACATTGAGCTATTTGCGAGCAAAATCCATGGTAGTACACGACATAGCTCACTTCTGTCAAGTCATAACACTAAGGTGCCAGGGTCAGCTTACTTTCCCTCTCTGTGACGCTCTATAGTCCCATGCTCGCTCTGTCAACAACTAATCCTCTTCATGTCTCAGCTCAAATTTTGCTCCTTTCACCACACTTTCTCCCAGCTCCAGACCGGAGTGGCACCCACTTTTATATGCTGCCATCCTACATCACCCTTTTAGACAGTGATTGATACTTACCTGATTAATGTCTTTCCCATTGTATTGGGGGCTCCTTGAGTGTCAGGTCTTCGGACATCAAAACCCCAAACCATACCACTAACATTGAGTAAACGCTGACTCTATGGAATCAAGTAGAACTGCTTCTTAGGGGTTTCAAGACTAAACCTTTATGGAATAGACAGCCTCAACATTCTTCCATGGAGCGACTGCTGTGTGTTGGACCAGCTACCTTGGACCGTAGCTTGTCTATCAGTTTGTCATACTGTAGTGGCTACGTATAAAATCATATCATCAGCATATCGTGACAGTTTCAGTTCTTCTTTGCTGATTTGGATTCCTTTGATTTTTCTTTGTGGTTGTTGTTGTCTAATAGTTCTGCTAAGGCATCGAGCCCATTGTTGAGGAAGAATGGCGATAGGGACATCCTGGTCTGGTTCCCGTTCACAGGGGGATGCTTTCATTTGCCCGATGAGCAAGATGTCGGCTATTCGTTTCCATAGGTGACTTTTGTGTTGGGAAATATCCCTCCTATTCATATTTTGTTGAGTGTTTTTTTTTTAGCAGGAATGGCTGTTGGAGATTATCAAATGCCTTTTCTGCATCTATTGATAGGATCGTGTGGTTCTTATTTTTTGTTTTGTTAATGTGGCGGATTACATTGATTATTTTTCTAATGTTGAACCATCCTTATGCATGAATCCCACTTGATCATGGTCTGTATTTTAAAATATATATATTGCTGGATTCGCTTGGTCATGATTTGTGAGAATTTTTTGTCTGTGTTCACAAGGGATATCGGTCTGTAGTTTTCTCTCTTTGCCTGGTTTTGGCAGCAGGGTTGTGCTCACTTCATAAAATAAGTCTATGAATTCTCGGTCCTTTTCTATATTCTGGAATAGTCTGTGTACAATTGGACAGCTCTCCTCTGAAGACTTGGTCGAATCCCCTGGTGAAGCCAACGGTATGTGAACTTTTTTTTGGTTGGCTGTTTCTAGAAAACCTAATCTATTTCCTCTTTTGTTATGAGTCTGTCGAGGTTTTCTCAGTCAGTCTGCAGAAGGTCTCTTTAGAGTGAGTGCTAAAGAGCAAGATGTTCCTTTGAGGACTAAGGTATGCCTGACCCAGGTCATCCTATTTTCAATTGCCTCATAAGCCCAGGAAAACTAGACGATGAACAAGGAGGAACAGCAGTGAGTGGACTACTCGAATTATAGGGATGGCAAAGAATAGGGAAAGTATCAAAAACTGCCAGAAGAACAACAACCAAACAATCTGTCTTGGAGGAAGTACATCCAGAAGGCTCCTTAGAATGGAGACTCAATGTCACAGGCTTTGGACATGTTGTCGGAGGGATCGGTCCCTAGAAAAGGGCATTGTGCTTAGTAAAGCAGCGGGCCATTGACAAGAAGAAGGCTCTTTGAAAAGAGGATGGTTTCAACGACGGCTTCAAACATCACAGTTGTGAGGGTGGTGCAGCACCAGGCAGTGTTTTGCTCTGTGGTACGTGGGGCTGGAAGAGTCAGCAGTGACTCAATGATGTTCAACCACGTTTAACTGAATCTTCTCTGTGGTCAAGGGACATCTATGTGGGGTGAACGTGAATGTTGATGGGAGCCATACAATAAAAAGGTAAAGCAAACCATGACTAAAAATAGGTAAGAATATACTTTAACTATTAAGTTTCTAGAAATAGCCTCTTCAACAAAGAGATTAACTTTTTCCAGTTAGTTTAAGGCACATGCCTCCTTTATCTTAAAAAAAAACACACCCAACAGTCTATTTTATTTAAATTTCTTTAATTTTAAGTAATAATCAGTAATAATTTTTATAATTTATCACTGTACCTTATTTCTTCATTCTTTTTTTAAAAAGTCATTTTATTGGGGGCTCTTACTGCTGTGATAACATTCCATACATCAGTTGTATCAAGCATATTTGTACATATATTGCCATCATCATTTCCAAAACATTTTATACTTGAACCCTTGGTTTAAGCTCCTTTATTTTTGCCCTCCCTCCCCACCTTCATACCCTCATGTATCCTTATTAATTATATATTGTTATTTCATATCTTACACTGTCCATTGTCTCTCTTCACCCACATTTCTGTTATTCATCCCCTTCGAGGGGGGGTGGTGGTGAGGGGAGGGCTATTTATCCAATCTTGTGATGGGTTCCCCCTTTCTCACCCTTCCCACTCCCTGACCCTCCCTTTACCCTCATGATATCGATACTCCCATTACTGTTCCCAGGGGTTTATCTTTCCTCAAGTCCACGTGTTAAGAGCTCTTATCTGTACCAATGTGTGTTCTCCGGCCTAGCCAGATTTGTAAGTTAGAATTGGGTCATGGTAGTGTGTGTGTGTGGGGTATTCAGGAACTAGAGGAATGATGTATGATTCGTAGGTGCTATACTACACCTTTGTTGAATCATCCCTTCCTTATACCACTCTTTGGGGGGATATCCAATTATCTACAGATGTGCTTTGGGTCTCCACTCGACCTCCCCAGTTTTGCATCAATATAGTTATTTGTTTTGGATCTTTTGATACCTGGTGCTTGATCCCGTCGACAAGTCATGATCATATAGGCTGGTGTGCTTCTTCCATGTGGGCTTATTTGCTTCCCTGCTGGATGGCCACATGTTTGACTTCAAGCCTTTAAGACTCCAGTTCCTATATCTTTATCAGTCCCTATAGCCGGGCACCATCCTCTCTCTTCACCACATTTGCTCATGCACCCATTTTGTCTTCAGCAATTGTGTCGGGAAGGTGAGTATCAAGGAGTGCCAGATCACCAGATAAAAATGTGTTCTTGTGTTAAGGGAAGTCTTGAGTAGAGGCCCAAAGTCTGTCTGCTACCTTGATACTTATATACATGTATGTACATTGGCCTCTATCCTTTTCATTATAAATTAATATATTTACATATATACATACCTCTGTAAATAGCCTTTGCCTCCTATTTCTTTCCTCTATTTCCTTTCACCTTCCTCCTATGCCTCTAAGTATTTCCTCTCGGATACATTGCTCTTGATCAAGCCCCACCTGGAATTATACACCCTCTTCTCCATCAATTTTAGATTTCTTGTTCCCTTATCTCTGAGGTACAGACTTGCAATTGTCATCTGCCATCAAGCAGGCTTCCACCTCATGGGGATCCCATGCACAGTGGAATGAGACATTCCTTTGTCCTGTGCCTTCCCATAATCTGATCCGAAAAGAACTGTTCAACTCCATGGGATTTTAATGAACTGATTTCTGGAATTAGATCATCAGCCTTTCTTCCAGTAGCAATCCAAGAGGAGAAAAGAGGCAAACAGAGAGTAACAAAAAAAACCCAGGTCAAAAACTAGATTTAAAAATTTTCTAAAACACGAATTTTCCAAGCTTTTGAATTAGGGGCGGGGGGAGGAATGCCATTCTAATTTTAAAGTTTTGAATAAGAATCTAGAAAATTTGGGTTTTAGATTCTTTTCTAGTTGTCGATTCAGTAAAAAAGGAAAGTAATAATAATTACTTCTTGTTTAATAGGAATGTTGAGAGGTAAATCATGAAAATCAAGAATTATACTTGAGCACTTTAGGCACGTAGTAAACCCTACGTTTGTTAGACTTTACTTGGCAGCCTGTCATCATATTGACTGTTGTCGACATGGTTTAAATGGAAGGTGATTTAGTGCAACACCCTTTAGTGATGGCATGTTTTACTGGCCTCGCACTTCCACATCGACCCCCAAAGCATTTGAAAAGAATCAGAATAGCTAAGATCCTTTGCAATCATTCTCAATTTAGGTAATTTTACAGGACATGGATTATTCTGGATTTGATATGGAAATTAGTTGCATAGATTTCTCTTCAAGGCAGACCAAAATGCTTAATTGGAAGGGCATAAGTTGGGAAGTCTGCGAGAAAGACTTGGTAAAATAATTGAAGAAGGGGAAAAAATGAGGAGCTGATACCAAGGGCTCAAGTAGAAAGCAAATGTTTTGCGAATGATGATGGCAACAAATATACAAATGTGCTTGACACAATGGATGGATGTATGGATTATGATAAGAGTTGTACGAGCCCCCAATT